GAGCAACGCAGGAAACGAACATGCACGGAAGTCGGAGTTTCTTAATTGCTCCGTACGGGATACGACTCCTGACGGGAGCTGAAACTCAGCGTAAACACCACAAGACTAAAGAAACGCAGACGCAGATCGAGTCCACAAGTTGGATAAGTGTCCCACACTTCATGTGATCACATCGTATGTGCCGTCTGCTCCTCAGTGTGAGCTGGCTGTGTGTGCGGCGGCTCTGCGGCACGCCGGCCTATCTGCGAGCAGTGGGAGTCAGACAGACAACAAACTCAGATCAACACTCGTCTGATTGGCCCGGCAGGGGGGGGCAGGGACGCCCACCGACAGCACAGAAGAAGAGAAGATAGGAAAATAAGAAAGAAGAGGAGGAGGAGGAGGAGTGTTTTTCTCTCGCCTTGTGTGTCTATAGATAGAAACATTTAAACAAAGCGGACAGATCCAAAGTCAAGTTGTTTGCAGAAATATAACATGACATCGTTAATTCTGATCCTGCTTCTAAAATATTTTATATCCTGCACAGAGCTGAGAAAAAACATTTTCCAAGCAGTAACCAGTGTTGAAAAATGAAGCCGATGCTGAAGTGTAAAATCCTGCAGTTCCTCGAGTGTCCACTGGAGGTGGACACTGTACGGGGGGTGAATGTTTTGATGACTCATCAGTTTTGATTTGATGAAGGATAAGAGTTATTCACAATAAGGCGTGTAGCTGACCTGACTGACAGGTGGTTTGTCCGGAGGCTTCAAACCCGCCTCAGCTCCAGCTCTCAGCCTGTCGTTAGGTTGACTGAAAGTTAGGCTGAGGCAGCATTTCCAGCATGGAGACCGCCATCGATGGGACTCCAGCGCCCCCTGCAGGAACAGACGGGTGACGTCACTCAGGCTTCAAACATTCATATTTAAAGTCTGTGATCAATTCTCATAAACTCAAGGTGTCCTCTGAGGAGCTTCCTCTTCCTCTCCTTTTCTGTGTTTAATTTCTTTTGATGTATTTATTATTTTAAGGGCGCAAAATACACTTTTTGGCGATTTTGCCTTTATTGGACAGGACAGCTGAAGACAGACAGGAAACGTGGGGAGGAGACAGTGAGGGGGACGACATGTATCACAGGGGAAAGGTCAGATCGGAACCCACGGCTGCAGCAACGAGGACTACAGCCTCTGTACATGCGGCGAGCGTCATAACCGCTAGGGCTATCCGGCGCCCCTTCTATGGTTTTCTAACACTACCTGACTATGTCCCTGATATCATCCCTGGGAGACCCCTCCTCGACTATCAACTGTCTGAAGCTGTGGAGAACAGGAGTCGCCCCCTGGTGACTGCATTTGATTCACTTTTTTACACCGAGTGGTTGTTTCCACTTCTTCCCGTCTTTGGTTGAACTTTGAAGAAAAGGGATTTTCTCCGTCTTCTGAGCGTGGATAATTGAATACAAACCTGAGCAACCTCTGCTGCTCTCACTTCCTGCCGCTTCTTTCCTTATATGGTGTTTTTCCCATAAACATCAGCCCCCGTTGCCTGTAACATATTAATCATCGAAGGCAAACATCGTCTGCCGGGAGTTTGAGTCTGAATCTATCAGCGTCGTCCTTCAGAAAGCGCCGTCAGCCGAGCGGTAATTATCCGGCGGTGAAGAGCCGAACCACAGGAGGAAGAGATGAAGCAGATATCAGAGCGCTTATCCAGGCGGCGGACCATCAGATCAGGCGATTCAGCTCCCAGCAGGCCTTTCTGCCCCTCGGGAGCCTCACTGGTTTAGAGACATCAAAGCAGCTGTAAGCAGCCCAGTGCACGCTGGTCGATATCCAAAACCAACGCCGCTCCTGTTCACGCCTACATCCTCCTCCTCTTCCTGCTCTTTTTCTCTCTCGTGCACCACGTTTCCCACTTCCTCTCTTCTTCATTCTTTCTCCTCTCCTCACCTTTACTCCTTCAGTTCTTGCCGTTCAGTCTCTCTGGTTCTCATCCTTCCCTTTCTGTTTTCTTTGTTACATCTCCTTTTCCTCCTCTCTCTTCCTTTTCTTTTGTCTTGCCTTTTTCCTTTTCTTTTCTTTTCTGCTTGTCTCCTTTCCTTCCTTCATTTCCTCCAGCTTGGCTAGTCTTCCTCCCCCGTTTCCTTTCCTCTATGCTTCGTTCGTTTTCCTCATTCTTGTCCTGACTGCACTCTGTTCTTTACTCTCATTTCTTTTCCTTTCCTTTCCTTTCCTTTCCTTTCCTTCCACTCATTTCCTTTCCTTTCTTTCCCTTCATTTCCTTTCCTTCCCTACCTCCCTTCCTTCCCTTTCTTGCCTCCTTCCATGTCCTTTCTTCAGCTCCTTTCTCTTCTCCTTCTCTTCCTTGCCTCCTTCCATGCCCTATCTCTCCCTCCTTTCCTCCTTTCCTCCTCTCCTCCTCTCCTCTTCTCTCTCTCCGTACTTTTGATTTCCATCCCTCCTCCATAACGAGCGGCCCAGAGATGGACGGAATCATATCGATGTTTTTTTAGGTTCATAATATAATTAACATGCTGCCGCTCAATCGGTCAAGGTTTGACCACACACACACACACACACACACACACACACACACACAAACACATCTGATCATTACAGCGAGCCGACACACACTTTCCTCGGATGAAGACGTAAACATTGGATGCAGAGATTTGTAGGCGAGCTGTGAGCGTGGATACACACATTCCCCTCCTCGCTGCAGCCGTTAGTTTGTGAGATAGATAGATGTGTGTATTATGCATGTGTTGTATTACGACGTTATGTTCAAGAGGTCACCTTGCTCAGGCCGGTTAGTCCTGAAGCAGTGAGAGTGCAGGCCAGCGGGGGGACGGGGAGGGGGGGCAATCATGCTTAAGGGGGGTAAGGGGTAACTTTGCCTCGCGTGTGAGTGCGCCTTCAACCCATGAATCCCGGGTTGTTGCAGCATGTGCTGCCAGTGTCAGGTCATCATAACTAAATATGTTGTTGCTGCAGCATGTTTCAAATGAAGTGTTGTTCTTCATTTGGAGAGTAAGAAACCATCCTCATGTTCAGATGAGCTCCTCACATCACAAAGATGTAAACAGTTTGTCCTGCTCCTGTTTAACATCTTTAATCTTTCTCTTTTGTTCCGCCTCTAAAACAACATTTTAAAGACGTCCCCCCCTCCTCGTCTGATCTTCACATCAGCTGTTAACTCCTCCTTTCACATCCACCTCCCTCTCTTTCTTCTCCTTTGCCTCCGTCTCTCCTTCATCGTGACTGAAGGTTCAAACCGTCCTTTGAGCTCGTCTCCTCTGCTCCTCTTAGCGAGTGAGGAGGGATTTAAACGGAGGGATCGATGCTGGATCTGAAACTTTTTCATGTGGATTTCCTCGTCTTCATCTGAACCTTTCAGCATTTTTTACACCGCAGAGAAAAAAGAACGAGCTCACATGTATTCACACATAATTTAGGGTGTTCTCTCAGTGTATTTAAGTCAGATTTGAAGGTTTCAGGGGAAGCTCTGTCAGCATTGAGCTCCATCTCCTCATGAGTCTCCTGTCAGCCAGTAGATGGCAGTCTAGATCCATCAAGCACCGAGCAGTCTCCTCCTCCTCTCTGTCTAACTTTCTGTCTTCAAGCTCTCAAAAAACTGGAAATCAAAGTAAATATCTCAAAAGAAGGGGAACATGTTTGTTTTTGATCTGAGAAATTATTCCTCTCACCGACAGTTTTTCCATAATAATCTTAATATGATGTTTTCACCTGTAACTGAGTTTTTAATCGGTCAGCATCTCTGATTTCATGATTACTTGTGTAAGGGCAGGTGTGGAGAAAGTAAAAAACGTTGCCTCACACTGCAGCATGCGTAGCCTATGAGCTCATTTGCAACGCCCATGCCCATATATGGGCCTTTAAATTGACATCAAACTCACATGTAACAGGAAGCACAATGTCATGCATGACCACAGGAGTCCTCTTCATAAGCGCCCTTTATATATAACCGGATATTTATATATGTGACAAGGTTTGTTGTTGTTTCAGGAGCTTGTGCATTAGCATAAGAAGCTATATTTTAGCACTAAATCTCTGTATCAGATGTTTGGTGACACTTTCAGTTAAGGTCACTATATTCCCTTAAAATTCAATTCTCCCCCCTCCTTGATGATTGACATTTTGAAGTATTCTCAAAACACACTTTTACTCCTTATCTTTTAACTGTATATTACTAAACCAGCACATTCTTCTGTTGTTGTTGTTGTTGTTGTTCTGTGTATGTTGTTAAGTTTTGTGCTTTATAAATCAAGTGAAAATAATTTTGGTTAGATCTGCAGCCAGATGTGTCGGCCTCCGGGTCGTTTAAACATCCTCTTAGAATCCTCTGTGTTGAACAGTTTGAAACACGAGTGAGGTGACGGTGACACACTCTGCTCTTAGTTCTGTAAATCACTGTTTTAAACATTCTTCTGTCCTCGACTTTTACCCTCTAACGATATTTGTTCAGCCTCTCTTCTTTTTATTCAGCCTCCTCCTCTCCTCTCCTCTCCTCTCTTCTCCTCTCCTCTCCTCTCCTCTCCTCTCCTCTCCTCTCCTCTCCTCTCTTTCCTCTCTCTCTCTCTCTCTCTCTGTATTTATCTGAAACCGTGTTTACCTGTTACATCCTGGAGGTTGTTTTTTTTCCCCTTCTCTTTCTGTCCTTGAATTAATTCATGTGGAATCGGCTCTGAAACATTGTCAGGCCGCTCCCGTCTTTTTTTTTGTTTCTCTTTCTTTATCCTCCTCTCCTCCCTCCAATCTGTTGCTTTCTCCTTCCTCTCCCTGTTGCATCTCGTTACCTGTTGGATTCTCAAACACCTTCTTTTTTTTTTAACGCTCTCTCTCATGTGTCTCTTTCCTCTCTCTGTTTGTCGGTCCCGTGTTGTTTTGATATGACTCCAGCAGGCTCTGGACAGCAGCCTGTTTTCATGCTATAATTATTATTTTTAAATCATCTGACACCCCTCTCCCTCCCTCCCTGCCTCTCCTCTCCTCTCTCGCCCCCAGTGCTTCGTGCAGCAGTTGGACGGGTTCATCTCGTGGCTGCAGGAAGCGTTGGACAGCACTGAGAACTGGACACAGCCCAGACAGGAGCTGGACAGCCTGAGGGTGTACCTGGACACACACCTGGTGAGAGCACACACACACACACACACACACACACACACTCCACAGTCCTGTGGTAGATCTCCAGCTCGTGCGCTTACAAACATGAAAACAAAGTGTTCAGGGGGGATTCTGGTATTTTAAAACCTGTGCTGCTATTATCCCTGAATTAATCGAGAACGTTGGGAATACTGTCGGGATAAAAGAAAAACACCTGCAGTGTTTCCTGGAGTCCCCCCCGCCCCCCCCCCTCCTCACCTACGGGATCCCGCTGTCCTTTTCTACCTCTCTGTAATATGTATTTTTTTTAAAAAGGTGGCGTAAAAGTATCAGAGTTCTCCTTCAGAGGTGGAATAAGGGTCAGATTGTTTCTGCTGAGGTCAAAGGTCGGCGGTTTACTGACTGGAGTGATAAATGTCAGAGAGGGATGATGGGTAAAATAACGACACACAGATAGATGAACACAGACTGTGTTCCATCTAATCTTCACCGCTTTCATCATGATTTCTCTCTTTTTGTTCCAATTTGTTTTTCATCTGCGTCTCGTCCTCTCCCTCCGTCTGTTTCTCTCTCTCTCTCTCTCTCTCTCTCTCTCTCTCTCTCTCTGACCATCTGCCCCTCCATGCTCTTGTTTTATCTCTTTTCTTTGCTCATTCTGGAAATCTACCTGTTTTTCTAATGTACACACACACAGTTTATATAAGAAAACCAGGCACCTATAGATGCTGCGTCAATGTGAAGAAACACACACACACACACACACACACACACACACACACACACACAGATAAGATACACTTTGACAATTACTCACACTCTTTATTGCAAACATATGGGCCTCACACAAACACACACACAAAGAGCAGCTCTCATCAGAACTGCATTCAAGAGTGAAAGGAAATGAGACATGAACACACACACACACACACACACAGAGACATACACACACACACACACACACACACACACACACACACACACACACACACACACACACACACACACACACACACACACACACACACACACACGCTCAGACAAACTAAGACAAACAAACAGGTTGTATTTGCATATAAGCGTACAAATGCAAACATACGTATATGCACGGCAGTAGAGCGGTGTTTCAGCTGCAGACACACACACACACACACACACACACACGCACACACACACACACACATACACACACACACAAACACACACACAGCCTTAGGTGCTATTTGCATACATTTGCATGTTCCTAGACAGATTTCCAAATCAGCATCTCCATATCCGTCCCTGCAGAACGGTATCATGCACACACACACACACACACACACACACACACACACACACACACACACACAGACCCCCCCCCCCCCCCCACACACACAGTTCTGTTATCTCGTTATTTATTTCTGCTGTGTGTGCCGTGTGTGTGTGTGTGTGTTTGTTTTTCGTGGTTTGTTTACACGTGTCGACTTTGTTGTGGGTGCCAGCAGTGCTAACGTTAGCGGCGGTTAGCTTCAATTAGAATTCCCGGCTCTTAATTGGCGTGTCTCGTTAAATAAAGCAAAAGAGGATGAAAAAGCATCGCTAATAGGACTTTGAACTGCTACACTGTTGATAGCGTGTTAGTTTAACTGACTCTGTGTGTGTGTGTGTGTGTGTGTGTGTGTGTCGATAGTCACACTTGCACTTTGTAGCTATTAGTGTGTGTGTGTAAAGCTGCAGAGAGACAGTTTATCTCTCTTTTCTCTGTTTCTCTCGTTTCTTCTTCAACTTTTTCGACTTCTTTGCTTTCCAACTTTTCTCTGATATGAAGCTGCAAACAAGATTAAGATTTGGAGTGAAACAGCGTGACTCATCTCAAACATAACACGCAGGTTTGAAGTCGGAGAATGGCTTCATGCTTTGTGAGTCACATTTGGTTATGATTGCTGACCACTGGACATCTGAAAGTTGTTATACATTTAAAGGAGCAGTATGTAACTCTGACACCTAGTGTTTAAAATGGGTACTGCAGCCCAAATTCATCACATTGTAGAGAGCTGTCTATATGATTAATGTCTGATCATATAGTAAGCTCACTTTATCATTTCACTCACTACACATCTCACTGGTTGGACCTTTAAATCCACCCATCTCTATTTAAAGAAACAGTACGTATAACTGATGTTTTTAATAGTTTCTGGAGAAAGAAGATTTATCAGGCTGAGAGAGAAAACTTGTTTGGATGAATTTATTGATTTGATTTGATATCAGAAGGAACTTCAAGCTTTAGTGATGCAAAGTGGAGATCTGTTTCATCCTTTTAGATACATTTTGTAATCCATTTCTCCTTCTCACTCTTTGTTGCCCCATGCACACAGACACACAGACACACACACACACACACACACACACACACACACTCTCTGTGTCTATATTGCTTTCTCTTTCACACATAAACACACACACGCACACACAGCTCCAGGGCAGCAGTGGGTGGAGTGGAGCTGTTCTCCCAAATGAATATTTGGTCCAGCTGGCGTGTGTGTGTGTGTGTGTGTGTGTGTGTGTGTGTGTGTGTGTGTGTGTGTGTGTGTGTGTGTGTGTGTGTGTGTGTGTGTGTGTGTGTGTGTGTGTGTGTGTGTGTGTGTGTGTGTGTGTGTGTGTGTATGAAAGCGTGTGAGTTGTGTGTTTGTGTCTGTTTCTATATGTGTGTTTTAGGGCACGTGGAGCGAATAAGCGCAGGTCTTTCCGGAACCCCGGGGAGATCAGTGAGGGGAGAGGACGCACACACACACACACACACACACACACACACACAGGCTGCTCTTTGTAAGGCGCTGAGAGATGGCGGCCAATGAAAGGCCTATTGATTGGGTCTGATGGGCGATCCAGGCCTTTGAATCCCATTACCAACATCAACACACTATTGGTGGCAACACAAGGGGGGAGAGAGGGAGAGATAAAGAGGTGAGCGAGAGAGAGAGAGAGAGAGAGAGAGAGAGAGAGAGTGCCTTCAAAATAAACTAACTGAATCTGAAAATGCAGATTTTTGATGTGAAAAGCTCCACACGAGCACTTGTTTTGGACACAGCTGAATTTCTTCTTCTTCAACACAAAACTCAAGTCAAGCTTGAATTACACTTTCACCTGTCAAGACACAAAAATACAGCCACCATAACTTGTTATAAGTACAAAAACCTGCCAGTGGGGCGAGCTATAATTTCACCTGTGGAGTGTCTTGAAAAGAGTTCATCTCATTTCATGACACTCCACGAGTAAATTTAGCTTTTTAAAAAAAAAAGGGATTTGCAATTAATTCTGGCCTTTTCTGTGTGTTTTAAATCTTGAAAAAAAGATGTTTATCTGGACTTGTCACACGAAGCTGCCTTACTGGAAGTGTCATGAGGTATTCTGACCAGAAATATGACAAGTACACTTCATCAGATTTGAGTTTGTGTTTGAGACATGTAAACAAATACAAGGCTAACATTTTAAAACAAAGAGAAAAGACAGAGTACATAAAGTCCAACCACGGGATCTCAGATTTCTGCAACGTCTTTTTATGTCACGTCCTACCTCCTGACACCTTCCTTCATCCCGTCACACTGGTTGAAACTTCTCGCTGTGTGGGGCATGTAAGGTTTCAGGGGCAGCATGCCTGAAGTCTTCTAGACGTTTTCAGGCGCGCAAAAGTGAAAACGGCCGAGTTGGAGCTGAAAACAATAAGACTGAATGAGACAGAAAGAGAGCAGAATGATGGTGTGAAGGAGGCGGCATCGAAAAGATGAAAGAAGGATAAAGACAGACATAATATTTGAAGTGTAGTGAGGGGAGAGGGAGGTAATGGGAAGAGCAAGGTGAGAGAGAGAGAAAGAGAGGGAGTGATGAAATATGAGAGAAGATGAACCGAGGGAGAAAAGAGCGAGGGGGTTGTCTTTTATTGCCCAATATAAAAATTGCATGTAAGAAAATAAAAAGAGAGAAAGCTAAAAAGAGAGGACACACACACACACACACACACACACACACACACACACACACACACACACACACACACACACACACACACACACACACTCACACACACACACCTCAGGGAATACTGCCGTACCACTACAGTTTCTCTCAGAGACAATTTGATCATCATTATTACAAAGACTCTTTGATCAGATCATGTCTCATCAACCAAAGTGTGTGTGTGTGTGTGTGTGTGTGTGTGTGTGTGTGTGTGTGTGTGTGTGTGTGTGTGTGTGTGTGTGTGTGTGTGTGTGTGTGTGTGTGTGTGTGTGTGTGTGTGTGTGTGTGTGTGTGTGTGTGTGTGTCTTCTGATCCGTGCAGCCCGACACAAAATCTCAATGTCAAACCTCAATGTCACCTCCGTATCGGCGCTGCACACCTCTCGAGCGCCCTTGCTAATATGCTAATGCTAGAAGCTAAATGATATTAGGTAGGCTTCTGAGGCTGGCCTACCCGGCGCTCGGGGCTAATATGCTAATGCTAACAGGTAATCTGATAACTCAGGCTTTGAAGCGGCTCGTCTGTCAGCCCGCTGCGTGTGTGTGTTAATCAGAGCGGGGAGTTAAAACGTTTACAGCTGCTGAGAAAATCACCAAATCCACCTGCTGTACCTTCACAGTTTAACAATCACATGTTTCAGCTGCAGTGTGCACAGAAACACACATGTTTATCTTATTAGGCTACCTGAGTATTTGTCCCTAAAGAATGACCTCATTTGATGCTTTATAATCGTAGTGTGTTCACACTTTGCAGAAAACTCCTGAAAAAGGAGAAGCTGCATGTGTGAACACAAACAGCTGAATGTCTCCATGCAGAGGCTGATGGAAAGGATGCTTCTGGTCTTAAACAAACGTCCTCCTCTGTAACATGAAGCTGAAGATCTTTTCTGTGATGATGTCACACAACCTGAGCCAACCTGAGTAACCATTACAGCCTGTTTGACGGCCGTCGGCTGAAGCCATCCACTGGAGCACTTCTAAACCTCTTCATCTTTTAGTCATTCAGATGCCAACATGTTGAAAATATAGGACCCATGCAGGTTTAAAAAAACTGGACTAACTCTGTAATAATGACCACGTGTTCAGCTCCCTAAACTGTGGACGCATCATTTGAAGAAGGCTCATCAAAATCCAATTTAAATACATGTAACCTCATTTCATATCATGTGTTTTTGAAGTCCACAACTTCAATAGAAAATGCATCAAATCACACACACACACACACACACACACACACACACCCCGTCTCTCTTTCTCTCTCTCGCTCACAGACACATAAATACATACACACTGCCTCTTATTACCGCCTGCTGTCTGCCGTGCATAAAAGCATGCTCTGCATGCCTTATCATGGCGTGATTGATGGCTGGCTGTTCTACTCTTATCGATTCTATGCTCTCCATATATTAAACGGAGGAAACGGAGCCGAATCACTCGTGGAATAAGGCTCTGAAATACGATCGCTCTCCGATAGCCCGGCTAATCTGCACAACCTAATTCATTCCTAACATCAGGCGGCCCTATCCCGGAGACGCAGACAGTCACGCTGTGTTTTCTGTAGCGCTGATAAATGTACTTTATGTTTATTAGCTGGGAGCTTTTTCAACCGCTTATCTGGAAATGATGTTGGGCAGAGTGGCCGCCGAGTCTGTAAAATTACTCAATCAGCTGTGAGATTTGATGTAATTTACGAGGTTTGCGGGGCGGTAATGATCGCAGGGAGCAGACAGTGGCGTTGGATGTGGAGGATGTTGATGTATGGAGGTGTTTTTTGGGGGCGTCGCCGAGTGATGAAGCTCATCGTTTTCTTTTCAAAGTGATAGTTTACTGTTTATCTGTGAAATGTAATATGTAGAGGACGGTGTCATCGCTATCTGCTCACATCCGTTAAAGCTGTTTCCGGAGGTGTGACTGAACCGGGCGAGTTTAGTGGAGCTCAAAGGGTGACGCAGGGACTCAGGGTTCGATTCCTGGAGGAGCTGAAGCTCGTTCTTCCTCTTTGTTACCCTGATTGTAAACAGACCGACTTTTATACTTATCATCAGAGTTAAATTGTGCCAACTGTCAGTTAAAGAACTTTGGTTTTTCAAAATAAAAGACTACCTCCTGTCCCAATTGTCCCGCTGCGTCCCGCTGACTGCAGTCCCTCAGTGTGTGTGTGTGTGTGTGTGTGTGTGTGTGTGTGTGTGTGTGTGTGAGTGTGAGTAGACACCTATCCGTCTCCTGTGTGTGTATCCTGCTCCATAAATATTGGTGGGGTAGAGGTCTGACCTTGTCATGTGTTGACTGATGCCGTCGCTTGTCGATCCCTCACTACAGACGGAGGAGGACGGTCTGTCTGCGTCCAGAGGCTGAACCAGACGAGGAGCTCTGAGGGGAAATATGATATTTTGTTTTTAAAGGTTTTTTTTTTAAATATACAATGATCAAGTTTATCAGATTGTCCCTCTAATTTAAATATTTTTCTCAGCTAAGACTCTGAGAAAGTTGTTGGAAATAAAAACTCTCTTTTCAAGGATGACCTGGCAGAGATGGACAGGCAGCAAATGAAATCAAATATCTGTCAAAGTGAGCTCGATCACAAGTCATAGATATATCAGACCAAACATCTGTTGTTTTTAACCACTACATGGTCGTCCTCTTTCTTTGAAAATTTTTTTTTTTGAAGTGAATCCTCCAGAATCCTTCATTCAATTAAACTCGTCGTGCTGTCTCTCATTTCCAGGACTTCAGCTTCAGATCAGGTGCTTCAAATATAGAAGCACCTTTGATGCATACATCACTAACACACACACTCATGCACCCCCCCCCCACACACACACACACACACACACACACACACACACACACAGTTCTCTCAGTAATCTGCTGCTTATCTGTGTGTGTGTGTGTGTGTGTGTGTGTGTGTGTGTGTGTGTGTGTGTGTGTGTGTGTGTGTGTGTGTGTGTGCAGAACGTCCCACAGCAGCACAGCAGGATGTCAGAAGTGGTTAAGTGTTGAGGACTGAGCACCTTGAGGCTCACACACACACACACACACACACACACACACTGAAAAGGCTGTAGTGTTGTTCATAGATCTGACTGGAGTGTTTTTCCAGCAGAGCCTGAGGCTGCTCCGAGCCTCCATCCATCCATCCGTCTCTTTGTGTATCATCCATTCATCCAGCAGTTCTTTCTTTCTTTTTCCTGTTTACAATAACCACAAGTGTGTTTCCTCCTTTGTTTCCCCCCTCCCTCCCTTCTGTCCTCTCTGTAACAAGATCTAAGCAGAGACTCTGAGCTGTTTTTAAAAACCAATCGACTCCAATTCTCAAGCATTTATTTTTTTCTGAACTATTCTCATGAAATGTGTCATTATTTTTTTAAGTTTAAATGCAAAAGGAGAGGTTTCCATTACTGTATCGACTGGAGTAGACTGAAACATTTTGTTCTGTATTTTTCAAAAAGGTATTTCATTTATTTTTAAACCCGGGCCCTGGTTGTATATTTTGGGTTTAAGGTACTCAAAAATGTCCAAGAAAAGTTTCTGTTTTGTCTGCCTTTGTTAGACAGGACAGCTGAAGAGAGACAGAGGATGTTGGGAGAAGAGAGAGGGGGATGTATTTACAGTCAATGGGGTTAACATGCACTTGTTAGTTTCCTGCCTGTGTGATCATTTCTCTGCTCTCAGATCTTCAGAATTTCTTCTCAAATGAAACTGACGACGATCTTTTTGTGTGTTTCAGAGTTTCAAGCTGAACGTGGACAGTCACAGTGCTCTGAAGGAGAGTATCATGGAGGAAGGCAGAGCGCTGCTCGCTGTCATCACCTCCCACCAATCAGGTTTGTTCACACACCTCCTACACACTCACACCACGGATGGATGCACACACACACACACACACACACACACACACACACACACACACACACACACACACACACACACACACACACACACAGGTAGCCATAACCGAGCTCTGACTCTGTTCCATTCATTATTAATATTTGGATTAACAGAGTGACCTTCAGAGAGGAGAACTCATATGAATGTAGCCGAAAGAGAGACTGAGAGAGATAAAGACAAAGAATGAGATGGAGATGTGGAGATAGAAAAGCCAGCGGGCAGAAATGAGCTGGCAGGGAGAGAAACATTCAATATCATTTTATATTTTCCTAAATCTTTGCAGCCAGAGTTGGGAAGAGATAGAAAGGCAAAGACCTCAAATATAAGAACCAATGTCGGATAATCATGATTACAAATGAGTAAAGTGAACTGTCAAGTATACATCAGCAGAGCTTTACAGTTTGTGATGAACCTCCAGGATGCATGGTCGGCTGCTTTAACCATATGGAGACACTGAACAGCAGCGTGTGCTTACAAAAGATCACCGTAGGACATCAGTGAAGTTTATGTGAAGTCAGTTTAAAAATGAGATTTTTTTCCCTCTCTCTCCTCTCCGTTCCCTTCTCTCTGGTTCATCATCACAATGTCTCTCGCCCTCCAGGTCTGAAGGAAATCCTCCATATGGTGTCCAGCCAATGGGATCAGCTCCAGCGGCAGATACGGCGCCAACATGGCTGGATGCTCCGCGCCCTCCGCTGCATCCAGGCCCGCCTCCTTTACACCAGCCATTCCTACGAGCCCTTCCACGCCTTTGGAGACCCGTCGGCCAATCGGCAGGCTCCGTGCCCAGCTGACGCCCTCCAG